ATACAAAATAGACTTTAATGGTGCCACAGGACAGTCCATATATAAACAAATATCACAAGGAACAGTAAAAAGGAATTTAAGTAATTTAAACCATTGGATTTGTGTGGCTTTTCAAATGGAAAATGGTATCCAGCTTGGCAAAATGCATGACCATCATCAACAATATACTGTAGAACTTTGCATTTTAAAAAAAACCACAACAGTTTCTAAATCAGAAGCGGATCTCATTAGGTTTGAGATTTCAAACTTGCTAAAAAATACTGATGTTGATATAAACAATAAAAAAAAATCAAAATACATCATATAATACAAATTACTATGATTAATAGAAAATTTTACACTGCTATTTAAGATGTTACAAATTCTAATCAATGCTTTACTATATGTGGGGCAAGTCTCAAAGCAATGAATGACAAACAGGTTTTGAAAAAGGGTATGATAGGCAGTTATTCATTTGGTTTATCATCCTTATATGCCTTATTTTTTTGAATGTTTACTACATATTGGATATAAAATGACTTTGAAAAAGTGGCAGGCAAGAACAGAAGATATATCTAAAGTAAAGGATCTGAAGCAACAAATTTATAATAGATTTAAAGATGAAATGAATTTGAATTTGCTGATTTTCCAAAATCTGGTATTTCATCAAGGTCGATATATTAGCAACAATTGCATATTGTTCAGACATTGACTCTGATAAATTTGAGACTTTCTGTTTAAAAACAGCTCAACTTTATGTTCATCATTATCTATAGTACTATATGCCACAATCTCTGCACAAATTGTTGATCCATGGTTCTGAAATTATTAAAACTTTACCATTACCCATTGGTATGTATTCTGAAGAAGCTCAAGAAGTATGCAATAAAGACTTTTAAACTATTGTGGACATTTTTCAAGAAAATTATCTCATGTGAAAACTAACCAATATTTGTTAAATCGACTACTGTGTACACCTGATCCATTTATTGCATCTCTGAGACAGCAGGAAGTCATACCAAAACATACCAGCTGGAGTTATTAACTTATTAAAGTCAATCATAGATGATATTAGTTTATAAATGTGTCTTTTGTATCTTTATAACTTTGGAAATTGTGTGATCCTGTATGAAAATGTGACTGTAAATTAAAATTGGATGAAAGGATAAAAAGTTATGACTTTTTTCCAAAAATATGAAGAGAAACAATTCTGGCCCACTGTGGGAAGCACAGAAACGAGTCCAAGAAACTAAAATAGAAATGAAACGCCAAAGCAGTAAAACCCAATTGAAGGAAAAAACTGAACTTGTTTCTTCTTCATCAGCAGTTGAAATTGGTAAGTGCAAGTAACTTTAGTTCCTCTGATGATGATGAATATCAGATTCCTTCTACTTCTAGCACAAGTGGTTTAACAAAAAAAAGATAAAAGATCATCTCTTAATTGCGTTAATATTTTTGATCGCTGTGCACTATTTGTGGTATAAAACAGGATGTATTAGAACAGTGGCTCAGGCTTCTGGTCACTCATAAAAGATTCATGATATAAAAAATATAACTGCTGGTCAACCAAAAGTGGATAGAATTATTGCCCTTGTGATTGGTAGTGGGACAAAAAAACTGCTGAGCATTCCAAAGATTGGTTGAGGTATTGGTGAGCAACAGGCTCATGCAAATGAAGGCTCTTAAAGATTAGAAATTGAATGAACATGTTTGGAAAATAGTTTTCAACACTATTTCATCTGAAACTGGGTTGAACATGGGTTGTGCCTGCATAATAATGGTGCAGAATCTTGACCATAATCTTATATGGACAGCATGCAGGTACCGTGTCTTTGTAGTCATGCTTTCAACCATTTTCACATTTTCACTGCATTTAAAACCAGTGGTGAAACTGAAGTGGGACATTTTATCTGTTTTTAGAAACAAGGGCAAGCGATTTTTTTCTGAACATTTAATAGGATTGGCTTTTTTTAATTCCCGTGTAGAAATATCTTAAAAAAATTGCTTCAACATTTGATTGTCACAGTCAATTGTCTTTCTTCATAATACAATGCACCACAGAACTTTTCAATCTAATTTTTAGGAATGGTAATAAAAAAGCTGAATCATTTTTAATGAAAGAATCTTCAGAGTAGGTAATGGATTTAACATATCTTGAAATGAAGCACAACGTTCTTTAAACGAAGGTGATCAAACATTGCACAGAACAAGGCATACCTCTTATAACATCCTTTAACTCAACCATTACAAAAAATAAAAATCTAAAGCAGTTTCTTCTTTGGTTGGTTGATTTTACTATTGTAAACAAAGATACTGTACTAAATGTTATTTAGCAGTATTGTTTTTAAACAATAAACATCAACAATTCACATAACATTAACTAATTATAAATATAATATAAAATAAAGTAGTATAAAATAAAAAATTGTAAAAATATTTTTTTTTTTTACTTTTGTAAAGAAAAAAAATATTTTTACAATCTTACACCAAAAATGTAGACAAAACATGGCAAACTCTAAAT